CCCCAAAACCCCAAAACCCCAAAACCCCAAAACCCCAGAAAAATCCTGGCTGGGATTAAACTTATAACAAAATAATAAATGTGGCGTTTTAATAGAATTCGAAGTGTTTCTATAAACTTCTCAAAAAGCTATGTAGGCTTGAATAATGCACTAGGTGTTAAGCCAGTCAGGTGGTTTTTGAACAAGCATGCTGAGGCTTATAATGGTCTAAACGAGAGTGAGGAAGATTCTAAGGAAAATATCTCTAGTGATTCTGACCAATACGAGAGCGACCCAGAGCTAAATTCTAAAATTGTAATTTTCATGCTAATCTTCAGGAAGAATCATTCTCCCACCTAGGCTTTGGCTCAGGAGTCTGGAGCAACATCACAGAATATGATTCTACACATGAAGAAACTTCAGATGCTGAGCAGACTAGTGAGTACGAAGATTTAGAGAAATTTGAAAGGAACAAAACTGAACACGAAAAGGAGGAATTTGTAGCCAAACGTAAGTTTATTAAGCAGCTGAAGATGGGATTGAGAATTAAGTAGCCTCTTTAGATATTATACCACAAGGATAACTCTTTACGCGTATTCCTTGCATTTCTATTCATAATTACTGGGGAAACATAATGTTTAGCAGAGAAAACAAATCATTTTGCCGATCTCTTGTCTCAAAGAATCAAAGAAATTGAAACTGAGCAGCATGACAAATTCGAAGACTTTCAAAAGCCTAAGCAGGAGACTGTTACACCTGGAATATTTGACAATATTAGTGAAGAAAAAGTTACTGAAGAACCTAAACAAGAGCTTGAGGATGTTTTAGAAGAAAATTCTGAAGAAATGGAAGAAGAATTTGAAGCCATGCTGCAAATTTTAGAAGACCAAACAATCTATTCCAACAAGTAAGAACCTTCTTGTAATTATATCAGACTAGCACATGAAATGTTCGGGGATTCAGAGACATATCTTGGCCCAAAAGGAGGAGATTTACAAACTACAAGAGAAGATTTTGCAAGGTAAGTCAAAATCATAAGCAAGTTAGCTCTTAGAAGTATGTCCTTAAGGCTCTCTAGAAATTGATTCTGGCTTGGCCCATACTTCTTGTAGTTTGTAGAACAAGATGTTAGGCAGAGGATTCTTAACCTCTTCATTTAGGTCAAATTTAGATCCCCATACTGAGGCAGGAAGACTTGAGTTAAAGGAGTATATTGAGTATGGATTAAATATTACTTTGTAGGTCAACAATCAAAGATTTGGACAAATATAGCACCACGAGAACAGATATAGGGTATTTTAGCTACTTACTTTTAGACATCTCATCAATTACTTGATGATGATTAGGTATTTATTTTCCTAATGCTTTAGAGAAGTTCCTGATTTTGTATTTCAGCATATTGATGAAAATTTGCTTGAAGTGATGAATTCCCCATTTGCTTCGAACGTTTACACAAGAGCATTGGTTAAGTAAGTCTCATAAATTACTATGAAATTGTTATTGAAGTTACATCCAAAAAGTTGATTAAATTTTTGTGCAAAAAGTTGACAACCAATGATACATTCTAGCTCTCAAAACCCAAAAATGGCAAAGAAGTATCTCAAAAACCTCCTTGACTACATTCTGGCTAATGAGGATAATCAGCCTCAAACAGACGCTATTGGAAAGCTGACTTTAATAATTACAAAGTACAAACTGATGCTAGTTACAAAGTCATATCGTAATAACAGAGCTGCTTTTAATGCTATAAAAAGGCAACTTATCCCTTCAAAGAGTAGGAAAACTCATAAAAATACTACTAAAGGTACATCCCCACTTCTAATTGCTTAGTACCCCAGTGCCAACTAGACAATGTCAGGAACGAAATTCACGCTAGCTACACTGGAGAAAGAAGTAACTCCACCCCTTCATCTCTAGGCATGTTGATAAGTAGATTAGTAAACCAGATCAAGCACAACAAAATCGTTGACAAAGCATTCATCCAAAAAACACTTGACATAATCTCCGAGTTCCTCCCCAACCTCGACCTCAAATGAACCTTCATCGTCAAAAATTTCCTAGCATCCTTCGAACAAACACACAGAGCCCAATACAAATCCCTATTTGGCCCCCTAAAATCCCACTTAGCCTCCCTCTCCACTGCTGAAGAGTACCCCTAATCTCACAATTCTAGGCTAAAAACCCAAAAAGGCACCTATCTCACGTACAAAAATTGCTAAAATTTAGCCCAAGAATTCTAGAAAGTATGCAGGAAAACAGGCAGAAATATACTTTGTTAAAGTACATGCGGAGTTTTAAGTAGAGTTTTGGGTAATTTTTAGAACTGTCAAGATGAATAATGAGGATTTTAAGAGAGGAGTCGTCCTGCTCACGCACTGTTTTGATAGGTCAGTTGAAGGGAGGGTTTTGGTATAGATGTGTTGGTTGTGGGTGTATTGGATGTTCGGATTGGAGCAGGAAGATATATCACACTGTCTTATTTTAAAGAATCTTAGTAAACATGCTTTTAATAGGTGTCTCGAGGATGAACAATTAGCTCAAGAATTAGGCTATGTTGTCCCTTTGATAGGTATTAATTATCATAAAATTTTAGCTGATCAATTCAAGCCAGTTAGAAAAATTGACCAAAAGAGGCTAGACGCTCTAATCAAAAGAGAATCAGAGATTTTCAAAGCTGTTGACTACGATGCCCAGGTAGCCCCTCTCCCTAATATTTAGGAAGAAATTGATGAGTCAAAGATGGACCTCAAGCTCAAGGAAATCTTTAGAAGTATCAAAGACTAATCTGAGAATTCCATATAAAATCCTCATTCAGCAGAGAATATTATCTTAGGGGTTTTGGGGTTTTGGGGTTTTGGGGTTTTGGGGTTTTGGGG